AAATTGAAGTATTCTAGATAATGTGTTGGTACTAAATAAGGAAATGTAGGATTGACATTAATTTATTATGATTTCTTAAAAAAATTGAAACCTACTACTAAATGGATACTCATGAGAGATCAATTTGAGTAAGATAATTTATCATTATTTTAGAAATCAATAAATCATGAATAATTTATAAAATTATCATACACTCGAGAAATTTAAGGCTCGTCTCTGCTTTGTTTATTATATTAAAGACTATAAGACATCTCCAAATACTATCTTATCTTAACCTGTCGATTACATAGATGTATTAGAGGAACCAAAATTAAGAATTATTATAGAGAACTATAAAAATCTCTAATATATGCAATCAACTTAAAACAATTAAGCAGATTCTATCTAAAGTCAAAATATAGAACAAATTACTAAAGAGGAAAATAAAGATGATAATGCTTAATAGAACTTGAATGTTCATACTATGCTCAAAGAAATTCCTGGTATTTTCAGTTTATTAAATTAATGATTTATAATATATATTTATGTTAAGAAAAACTATTTTGTTAAAAGTATTTATTACTTTATTGTCTTCAATATTATAAATTATGAAAATCAAGAAGATCTTTTTAAGATTGAAATTACAAATATATATACTAATTATTATAATAAAAGTAAATTAGAAAAATATTATTAATTTTAGTAAGGATAATGTTAAAATGTTAATCATTCATCTTCTTTTCCAGAAAAATAATGTTGAAGAATTAAAACATCTAATTAGAAAATACAATAACTTTAATAGAATAATCGAATTAAGTATGTAGAATGATTTTTTTCAAAATTATGGAAAAGGATTTATTTATGATGAATGACTTGAACGAATAAGTATATTAGAGAATTTTTTCATATTCTAAATTAAATAGGACTACATTAAGATAAATTTGTAATAATTAATAATCTCTTCAATTGTGCCCAGTATACAGTAACCTTATATTTATTTATATTGGAATGGGAAATTAAATGCTGTTCCTATAAAAATGAATTGAGGAATGAAAAATATCTTAATTCGCAAATAACAATGGAACCATAGATCTTTTTAATCCAATATAAGCTTATCCAAAGATGATGTTTATATACCGAATACAAATAATTTGAAAAGTTCTTAGAGATTATATTGGAATAGGACTTAACTGAAAATTTTTGAATCTGTATTTTACAGAATCTGGAGAGAATCTCTAAATAATTTATTGTAGGTTCTTTGCTAAACAAAGAGTCATATGAAAGGATATGATGAATTTGAATTAAGTTGAGTTTAGACAAGGATTTTGAATAAATAAAGGTTGAGAAATTGAAAGGAGGTAAAAATAATGAGTATTAAATAGGTAGTAATTTTAAGTTTAATGATTTGAAACATTTAATAATCCAAAGTGATTTTATGAATAGTAGCAGATTAAGTTTCTTTGCCTTCTTTATATCCTGAGAATATTACTAATTTATCTGTTATGTCAATATATATGTTATTAATGATCATATAATTTTAAAAGAGTAAAGTAAACATTTGAGAGTCAAGATTCCTAAACCAATAGAGATAATCACTAAGAGTTGGTCTAAAGCATTTATTATATTTCCACTTGGAAATTAGAATAAAATGAAGAAGATAGAATCAGAATTGAATGCAAAAAATATTCTAATAGGAGCCAATAATTTAAACATTAGCAATTCCAGATTGTGTCTACTTATCATATAGAAAGATCAAAGAAATATATTTGTGAATAATTATTTTCAGTTAGTGCTTTTAAATTTAAAATATAAAATATGGATTATGAAACCCTTTTTGTCATTCTACCCAAGGAACCAAAAAAATGGTCTCGGGAGGATGTGTCATTATGGCTTAAATTTGTTGGATTATAGTCTTTGCAAAGCACTTTCAGTATATATTTATGAATAAGAGTAGCAAATAATTCAATTGATGGATCATGTTTAGAATTAATAGAAGAAAATGACTTAGTAGATGATTTAGGAATCAATAGTAAGATAGTTAGAAAAAAGTTGATGCATTGTAAATATAATTTTATAAGAAAGGGTTGAAAACTGGATTAAAGGAGTATGCATAACACATAAAATCAGTTATCATCGATGATAAGAGATGTGATAAGATGGAATAAGAAAACGCTTCACTTGAAAATACAGAATCTGCATAAGCACAATATGGATAAATTAATATATCACATGAAATGATGACTAATTATATTAAGAATAATGAAATGTAATCTCAATAGTTCTAGCAACCATTATGTGAAATGTAATAAAATACATCATAAAATAGTGAAAATAAACCTTAGTTTTTAAAAAAATAATAAACCGGCATTTAATTAGAATAAGAAATAGAAAATTTTGTAACACAAATATAAAATGAACTCATTATTTAACCAACTGAAGGACCTTAAACTAATTTCTATTGTATTAAAGAATCAGGAGGAAAAATAGGAAGGCATTCAAATAATTAGATTTTGATATTAGAAGAAAGTATAAGTAGATTTCACGCGGAAATAGTATTTAAAAATGAATAAGTAAGATTAAATGTTTTATGGGATAGTTTTACATAAAAGACATTGGATCAACAACTGGAACTTTTATCAAAGTAGAGAGTAAATTAGAATTACAAGTTGGAATGATTATAGAATTAGGTAGCAATCAATTTGAAATTTAGCAATTGTGTATGAATAATTAATTAGTTGAAGTAATAAAATCTTTATTTCTATATAGATTATCATGTTCATTATTGAAGGACAAAATTCATCTGAAAAACATATAATTGCTTTAAATCCTTAAAAATGTGTTACTACTGTAGGCAGAAAATAAAATGCAGACCTCACTTTTAGTGAAGATCATCATCTTTCGAATATACATGCCAAGATTTGTCTAATTGAGGGACGTGTCTATTTGGAAGATATGGGATCAACTAATGGGTATTTTTATTTATTTGAATGACAGTTCCTGGATTAGGTTATCAAAAGAAGGATAATTCTCATAGTTATATCCTTTAGAGAACTAAACAGTTTTCAAAATTGGAACCACTTCTACATATTTATGTAAAAGAACTACTTAGTTGGTTACTGATAAGAATAATGAGAATAATTGTATAATTTGTATAGAAAATGATCGGGATGCTTTGTATATGCCCTGTAAACATAATACTGCATGTCTCAAATGTAGCAAGAATTTAAAAGATTGTCCAATTTGCAGAACCAAAATTCAAGATGTTATTAGGATCTACAAAAACTGATATTCTTACATATATATAAATTATTTAAGTTAAATGGGACCTATCTGTACAAAAGATAAAACAAACAAAATTGTTATCAGAGGTAATGCTAAACCTGTAAATACACCAACTCCTAATGCGCCACCAAAAACTATAAACACACACAAATATGTTGGTGAAGAGTTTCAATAAGAAATTGAAAAAAATGATCCAGCTTATTCTTAGAAACAATATAAATGGAATCAATACTATCAAAAGAAATATGAACTTATAAATGACGATACATATATTGCTTTGATAAGACGATCAACATCTATTGAGTAATTATAATAACAGACTAATGAAGATGATCAATGTAAAGAGCCAAAAATTAATTCCAATAAGCATTTCTATAAAAAAATATTAATGTCGTTAGCTTAATAACTTGATGGCCCTTTTAAATTGACAAATTAAGATATTATGGATGCTTACCTGCTAAAAGAAATCAATAACGAAGATTTTAAAAACATTCTTATGGATGGAGCCATCTCTAAATATAGATGGAATTTCTGGATGGCTTAAGTCTATAGGAATAAAGATTATGATCCCCTTCTTTATTCAAAGTTGAAAAATCAAACTCCTACTCAAAAAGTTCTTGAAGATATTACTAAAGATGTTAATAGAACTTTTCCTTCACATGATCACTTTAAGGACTATAATTAAGGTTAATAATAATTGTTCTCTATTCTCAAAGCCTTATCCATTCTAAATGAAGATATTGGATATGTATAAGGAATGAATTATATAGTTGGATTCTCATTAATTGTAAGTGGAGGCAAAGAAGAAGAAGTCTTTTGGTTAATTCATTTCATTAATACCAACCCTCTATTCTTATGGTGGGAAATCTATAGAGTCAATTTTAATTATACAAAAGCATTATGTTAGGTGTTTTTGAAAAATTTTAATGAATAATTACCAGCACTCTATCAACATTTTTAAGATGAAGGCATAAGTGATTAATAATATATTTGGTAATGGATTTTAACTTAGTTTTTATACACATTTCCTATTGATAGTGTGATTTTCTTTTGGGATTTTATTTTGGCGACTGATATATTTTCAATCATTAAACTAAGTATTGCATTTCTTAATGAGTTTGGATATGATCTAATCTAAAAAGATATTGGTTAAATTTCGGAATTCTTTACTGGTTTCATAAAAGATCAATTATAAATCGATGTTCCTAAAATAATTAAAGATGCAAAATAAATAGATGTAACTATGACTGATGACTAAAAACAATTCTTTAAAAATTACAAACCTTAATCATCTACTTGATATTACTTAATTCAATTATATATATATATATAATTTTATATATATTTTAATTTCATATTCTACATCAAAAGATATATTTATGTTTAAAATAACTCAATAAGCTTTATCTTTCATAATGATTCTATATATTTGAATAAAAAGTTCTTAATAGTATTAAAGATTAGAAAAAAAAAAATTTATAAAATTATTTCTATATAAGAACTGGATAAAAAAGTAATATATACATAGAAAATTAATGATATATAATGATATGGAGATTATATTAGTAGATTCTAGATTTTTCTATTTTTATTTAAAATATTAATAGAGATCCAAAAATTTTAATTAATTTATTAAACATGATAGATAAATTTAGTTTCATTATATAATAATCTTGGAAAATAATTTAATAAATTAAAAATAAAAGTAAATGAATAAATTGAATAATGAAAATTGTATTTCAAATTGTTGATGCATAAAATTGTACATCTTTATCTTCATCTTGTTATAAGAATCTTGTTTTATTTTTAAATTCATTTTATGTTATGTCATCTAATTTATCTTGAATAGCAGTAAATAATTTAAATATATTTAATCTAACATTAGGTACTTTGTCATTAATTGATTTAGAGGTGATATCCTAGAAAATGATAATTAATTTAAAAAGTACCTAAAATAAATTAAGTAAATCATCAATTGAAAGTATATCTCTTAATTTAATAATGCTGTGCATAGCAGAAACTCTAAATATATAATTTGGTTATTCGAATTATTTTGAAATGCATTTTAAAACAAAGTCTCGAATTTTTTCATAACCAAAATTTTCACAGATTGGAATCAAATTCTCTATTGCTTGGTCTCTAATTGCTTAATAATGATTTAGAACTCCTTTATCAAGATATATCTCCTATAATTCAAGAAAACTATCATATCCTGCAACTTTTAAAAGTTTTGGTATAATAGACATCATCTCTAATCTAAATCTCCATTGTTTTTCAGTAGCAAATGAAGTAACAAGAGGTATCAAATGTTTTATAGAATTTTCAGGTCCTATGATTTGAGATAATTGATCTAAATTATATGCCAATTTGATTTTGATTTCTACAACATCATCTTTAATTAGAGTAGATATTAAAGGAATAAAAGTTTGTATTACAACTTAGACTGAATACTGTTTTGATATTTTGCAAATTTATTCAGCTAATGACATTCTTACATGTTAGGAAGTGTCAGTTGAAAGAGCTTAGAAATAAGGTAAAAATTAGTCTTTGAATGTAGATGGTATCTCTTTCAATAAATGATAAATAGTCATCACAGTAATAGATCTAACTTCAGGTTCTTGATCTTTGAGTAATTATTGAAAGACAGGGACAGCTTTACTTTTAAGAATACTTTTATCCTTATCTAATTATTATGTTTTTAATGATTACTCAATTTGACTACTATATCAATAATACTTTCTAAACATTCTGGAACGGTGTATCTAACACGCCAACTTTTTTCTCTGGGATCTGCTAATGCAAAATAGGTTTGAAGGTGTGTATCTAATTCATTATTGTCATCAATAAGTTTAAGCATTTATTGTGAACCTTCTATGGCTTTAATTTTAACACTATCAACAGGGTCTTTAAGTAGAGTTTCCCAAATTGTAAGTAATTATTATGTTTAGCATTTAATTTTTGCTAAATCTGACAATACACCTGCACAGACTCTCCTAACCATGGGTGTGTCATCTCCACATAATTATTTATATAATTCCCAAAGAATATTTTTCTTTTCAAATGAAACATGTTTATAAGTTAATGGAAATAAACTAGCTGCAGAAATACGGGATGGAAAGTTGTCCCATTAACCTAATTGTTAAATGATCTAAAAAAAGTGATTTTCAAAAAAGCCTTTATTATTTTATTTAATTCTTACTATCAGGCATATCTTCTGCTAACAATAACAATGATTCTACAGCTTTTTCCCTTACTAATGGCTCTTCCATTGAACTTAGAATTTCTAGAGGGACATTTAAAAGATGGGGACTAGCCCCTGTATGAGGTTTTAAATTTACAAGTTCTTATGCTAATTTAATTAGAAATTCATCCTCATTATCTTATTCTTCAATAATGTCAATTAAGTATGGAATGAGTTCAGAGCATGTTCTAGCAGGACCAAGAATTTATGCTATTGATACAATTTTAGTGACTGCATTGATTTTCAGGTTTGGATCATCACTTTTGAGTTCTTCAATAAAGATAGTGCAGTCTTCTTCCTCCATTTAAATAATTAATTATATTACTTTTAATAATTTTCGTTAAATGAACAGATAAGAAAAATAAGAAATAGAGTCTGGATTACGTGCTATATTGGAAGAAGTATAAAAACTTAATTATTATAAAGATGCTCAATTATAAAAATGAGAAATGTTTACGAATTGAGTACTACAATTGCAATGATTTAATATAGAGAATTACAAGGACATTTAGAGAAATAAAGAATAACAATTAGGAATATAAGAAATTAGAATCAGTTTTGCAATAACAGGAAGCCGATATTCGAAATCACATAAGTGTAATAAGAATATCTTAATTGATGACTAGTTGGAACAATAGATGAAGTTGTATTAGGATTAGTTATAAGCAAAATTAGATGAAGCATCTCAAGAAATAAAGAGATTGTAATAGGAAATATCTCGATATAGTACTAATATTGTATAATAGTGGTTATCAGAATCGAAGAAAAGGAAAGAGAAGAGTTAAGAGGCTTCTTTATCATAAAGAAATGTTTCACCCAAGAAACAAGAATCATTGTCTTAACATGGATATTCATCACATAGGAGTTCTTGTGATCAATTATTCAAGAGATATAATAAATTACTTTAATAACAATAAGCTTAAATAAGCCAACGCTCAAATAATATCTAAATTAGTTAATACATGATGAAAGGAAGATAAACTTTAGCAGAAATTTGCAATATTTAACCTAGTAAACCTAGTCGAAGTTAAACAAAACACAGTAATAGTGCAAAAAAAGGCAATTAAAATAATTCAATTAGTTCTGAAACTATAAGAAATTTACTAAAAATTAAATGATAAAATCAACTTATATAATATCATTTAATTATTATTATAAATTAGATCAAATAAATCTTTTATATATTTACTGAAAAATTTGAATTGTAGAAAATATTTATTCTTCTTTCTTTAATTAGAATAGTAAATCAAAATTAATATTCTAATTTATTATAATTAATAATATATAATAATAAATTACTACTCCAATACTTATGTAAGATGGCTTAATCCATTATTATTAGATTTCTTATATCTCTTATATAATAAAGATAATGAGATAAAGAGAGTATTATAAATTGACACTACATCAAAATAAATGATTGAAGGTTAACATAAAATTACTAATGTTATAATAGGAAAACATAATGTAACAGAATAATTAATTAAATAAAATAATTATAAAACTGAAAAATTCATCTAAAACTTTAAATTTTTAGATATCCTATATTACAAGGTTAATTATATTTATTTTAAATTTCAAATAATGAATTCACAATAATGTAGTAGATTTTAGATATCATGCTAATATTTTGATTATAATATTTTTTTAATTAAAGAGTATATAGTCATTTTCTTTTTTAAGGTATGACATATCTTTGAATCATATCAGCATTTTTATATCCAGCTCTTACTTTTATGTCTTTTCTCATAGTTCCATCACTTCTTATTGTACCTTTTATTATTGTATGTTCCTAAGTCTATGCTTAATCATCAATTTTAGTTTAATTTTATTGTTATTGCTTTTCTTCTTTATTTTATTCTTAAATAACTAATTTATTAATAAAGGCTTCTTCTAATTCTTTTTCATTAAATTAATTATTATTAAGTTCCTTTTAATTATTTTGATCAATTTATGATTCTTTTTAAGTTTAATTTTCTTAGATTTATTATTATTATTATAATTCTTCATTATTTGATTCTTTCATAATTATATTATTTGGTTCATCTTATTTATTCTATTGTTCTATTTTCTAATCTTTTTTATCTTCTTTATCATTATTATCTTTGATTGCTATTTTTTCAAAATTATCAATTAATTCTTATACTTCACTCATAATTTATTATTATAATAATAATAAAAATATTGATTTTATTTATATTAATGAATTTCATAAATTACACTATCAAATATTAGTAAGTGGTCTTTAAGAAGAGAATAATTATAATTATCTTAACTAATTAAATTTTTACTTTATATGAATTTGACTCTTTATAAATTATTATTCCACTATTCAATATAATTAATTAACAATATCTATTTATCAATTATAGATATCAATTAATCATTATGTTTTATGTAGTAAAATTAAATCTAAATTGAATATTTTCTTTATTATGATAGAATAAACTCAATAGAAGAGATGTTACTCTAAGATTCCTTCTTTAATAAAGAAAGAATTGATACAAAAAGTTTTTCAAAAGGGATTGAAGATTAAACAAGTATGTGTGATTATAAGTGTAGGCAGCCTTGTAATTACAACTGAAATATGCTACTGCCAAAACAATAATACTTAATTATAGAAAAAAGGTAGTAAGAAAAAAACTTATTTTTAAATCCAATAAACCTTGTTTAATTCTTCCTTTAAACAATATACATAAAAAGAGAAATATTATTGTTGTCTCTTTAGTGGCTGGAAAACTATAGAATTTAGAATGAAATATGTTAGTTCAAATCAATTTATTTTGGTAATCTTTTTTTCATCAAAGTTTTTATTTTTTTCTGTTTTATTATAATATCATTCAAAGATTTAAGGCTTTAAATTCTAATATATATAAAAGAAGAAACCATAATCTATGTAATATGGACTATAATAAATATAAAAATAATAGAAACTATGATACGTTATAAGCTTGTCAATATTAATACTTTTTTATTTGTTAACAATTATTATATTATTTATTATACTTATTCTTGTATAAATATTTAAAATAGAAATAAATGCAAATTCTGGATTAAGACAAAAAATAAAATAAAAATATATTTACCTCTTTGTTTAATATTTACTAGTGCTATTTTGATTTTATCTTTTATCAATAATAAATTTATTATATTTTTAATATAAATTCACAATTAACTCTTGTTTACGATTAGGCTATCTTATCAATATTTATAAAATCTGATACTTTCACAATAATATAAAATTAAAGTAATTATATTAAATTTAATATTTATAAAATTCTAAACAATTATAATTAGAAAACTATAAATTGTCATTTTCAGAAGCAGTTTAAACTCTCTTAAAATATTATAAAAGAATCTCATTTTAATCAACTTTTTATATTTAATATTTTTACATTAGTGAATATCTCTTAAAATTTTTATAAAAATAAATTTGACTCTTTATAATTTAGATTTATTTATAATTTGAATGGAGAATTAAGAGAATTAGATATTTAATTGATATTAAATTTCTCTATATGACTTGCATTCAAATAAATATGTTATATAAAATAATATAAAAATCTAAATTAAAGTTATGCTTTATGTAAATCTAGAATATTAATATTTGAAACATATTTCTACGATATGTTATAGTACTATGGTGAATAACAGCTAAAAAATAATATAATAATGATTTGTATATTTTCATAACAATCATGCAGATGTTAAACTAATGCTATCCCTAAGTTGATTAATTTAGATATACTGTAATTCTTCATCCTAATCTGTTTCTTTTAGTTCATCCATAACAGGAATTCTAATTTATGTTAAATTATGAATTATTAATCTATTGTTCAAGATTGTCAAAGCTCGGCTGAATTGAATTCTCTAACATCTTAAAATAGGCATTGCCATTCTTGATATCAATCGTACAAACATAATATTAAAATATTAATTATGGTTATTAGATATCAATTACATATATAAATATATATATAGAAACTAAATAATTAGTCTAAAATTATAGTAATAAAATGGAATTACTTATTCAATATTTTCAAATCTACCAAAACAAGAGACAATTGTTACCAATATTAGTAAAGATATTTTAAAGAAATAATATCTAATAATAATTATATAATCAATTAAAATTTTAATATAACAACATTATTTGCTTTATTTTTATTCTTATACTTATAAATTGATCGTTTTCTCTTACTTAGGAATTTAATTTTAAAGTTAATTTAGAAATAATTCCAATTAAGATATAGGTTCTCTACTTAGTATTTAATTCCATAACTAACAAATCTATATTAATCAATCTAAAATTATAAATATTCCTTAAATTTCTTCTCAAAACATTAAATTTATTCTTAAATTTGGCTTTGATACAATTTACAGGATTTCAATTAATAAGTTTAAAAAACTTTTACATTTTTTTAATAAATAACTAGATAATATTAAATATTATATAAAAATATATAGATAATCAATAACTTTGATTAGTAAGAAAGTTGGATCTTCCATTAATTGAATAGAGATAAAGATATCTTTAATTCCTATTTCAATAAAGTACAAAATTAGGAATCATAAAAAATAAAGATGGAAATTAATTCAAAAATTCAAATTAACCGAAATATTAATATAATATTATTTTCAATTTCAGTTTTTTTAAACAATATAGGAAGATTATATTATGTTAATAAAATTATTGGTTCAGCAATAATAATGTCTAAAATAATAATGCTTAATTTTTATAGATTCTTGTTTGAAATTCTGATAATTATCAATATCAATCATTATTTATGAGTAGTTATTATAGATTGAAATAAAATCTTAATTTAAGGAACTCTAGAGGATTCATTAATTTATATTAATTGATTTTTGATTACATTTTAATTATTTAATAAATAAATACAAATGTCTTCGTTATTTAAAGAGGTGTCTTTAAAATAAGTTATTGCTGATAAAAGTTAAGTAAGAATACTATTGAAATAGAAAATTCAGATACTGGTTACTATGTTGAAAGATATCTAAAAGGAGGAGGAAGAAATTATGAAATAATTCAATAAAATGACAAAAGAAGCAAAATCAATAGAGGAATTATATGAAATAATGGAAATGATTAATTATGAAATGAGTGTAAGAAATAGCGATAAATTGATAATAATGGATGAAATTAATCAATAAGAAGAATATCTGTAATTTTTCAATTTAATAACAGGTTATAATTATAAGCAAGTCTTGAAAGTCAAGTGAGGAATACATTGAAAGAGTTTGAAACATCATAAAAATTTTAATAGACTAGATCTTTGAGATAGACTGGAAGATTTCTTTAATTCAAAGATAATAATCATAATCTTAATATGGAAAATAGCAATGTTTAATCTAATATTATTACAAGTTATGATTTTGAAGAGTAATCAAGATTGTATGATAAAATCTAAGATAATATCTTCAATGATCCAACAAAATATAATAGTTAAGAGGGTATAGATGAGACTTAAGTATATGATTGGATATTAGATATTGATTTAATAAACAATGTTTAGTTTGGTTGGCCTGTTTATATCAGTAGACCATTTTAGGCAAAAATGGAATTAGTGGGTTTAGGAAATAATAATAATAATAATGAATCAAAGTCTTCAATTAAATGGGAAGGTGCAACAGTAGCTGTTGTTGGTCTTTATGATAAAGGGAAGACATTTGTTTTAAATAATCTAACATAATCCAATTTACCATCAGGTAAAAAAGTAACTACAAAAGGGATATCTTTTAAACATGTTGATGTGGATTCAGGAACTTAATTAATATTAGTTGATACAGCAGGTAGTTATTCTCCTGTGAAAATTTAATCTGCTTTAAGTATTGTAGAGAAAGAAGCAACAGAACATTTTATTATTGATCTTGTATTTGAATTGAGTGATTACTTTATTTGTGTTGTAAATGACTTCACATCTTTAGATCAAAGATATTTAGATAGATTATCAAGACAAATATAAAATAGTTCAAAGACTTTTAGAGAAATAATAGTAGTTCATAATTTGAAGGAAATTGAGACTTCTGAAATCTTATAACATGTTTGGACAACATAAGTAACTTAAATATATTCTACTGGTGGTTCTATTTAAAGAACCAAAGTTGCTGCCAATAATCCAAGAAATAATGAATTATAAGCTAAACATGTATTATGGTTCAAAACTTAATATACAAGACATGTTTGTTTAGTTAGTGATGATAGTTAATTAGGATTGGATGTAAATCCTTGGGTATTTTCATTATTAAAATATTGGTTAAAATCTGTATTTGTACCTGTTAATAGATAATTTTCTGTTTGTGAAAGTATCTTGTAATATTCAACAAGCAAATTAACATAATATTTTAAAAGGGAAGTTAATGTAAAATTAATAGATACAGATAATTAATTTGTAAAAAAGATTGTATAAATGGAGGCAGATTTATAAAATGGATAATTAAAAATTCCTTAAACTAATATTGATCAATCAGGTTTGATATTAGCAAGACCAGATTCATTTGCTCCTGCAACAGACATTATTGCTAATGATAAATATACTATATATATGGATGTACCAGGGATAAGCGAAGAAGATATAGAAATGTATAGATAAAATGTTGTGACTATAGTTAAAGGAAACCGAAAGAAACCCTATTAGGAAGAATAAAGTGATCATATCAAAAAGTAGGAGAGAAAATATGGTGAATTTACATTAAGTTTTAGAATTCCAGAAAATTTCGAACGTAAATGGAAACATTTTGGAATAGAAAATGGAGTTTTGAAAATTGTATATGAAAAAGACAAAGATGATATCATTCCTAATTAATTTATGAGTTAAAATGAATGAATTTATTTATTTATTATTTATATATATATATATATATATATATATATATAAATTAACTAATTACAATAGAAATTGTTAATTATTCAATAGAATATAAGTAAATTATTATGAAATTTAATTAAAATTAATTCACAAATATAAGACTACACAAGTAATGTCATCTCTAGCTAAACTATTTCTTTTCCATGCATCCACTGCTTAATTTAGTAATTTTTATGCTGCAAATTCAGCACTTATATTTTTATCATAACATTAACTCAATATTGAAACTACTTCTTGGGAAGACATATATTCCCAAATACCATCTGATGCAAATACTAAAATTTTGTCATCATTTGTTAATTCATATTCTGTAATCTCAGGAGTTGCTATAACACCTGCTTATGCACCTAATCTATCTCCCATTGCCCTTGTCATTGCTAATCCTGGTGCATTCAATGTTTTTAACCAAACTCGAAGTGGACCAACTTAATTACCATAAATATCTTATTAAGCAGCTATACGTCCACCAGATTTTAATATTCTTATTGCTTCATCTTCTCTAGAAGGTTTTTAATCCTTTGTTAATTCAATGGTTTACCAAGAATTACCCATTTACTTTGCTAATACACATCTACTATCACCAACATTTGCTATATATAATCTATTTAATTTAATCAAACCACAACATAATGTTGAACCTGCTATGACAGTTTCAATTTTTGAATTATTCACTAGTTCATTATTTGTCTATAAAACACCTTTTAACAATGTCTCTTTTGGATCTAAAAGACTTTGTTCAATATATTTTGGTAGAGTGATTCGAATAAACCCAGAAACACGTTCACCATTTACTCCATGTCCATCTGCCACTCCATAAAAATTAAGTCTCTTTTCTACTATAAAAGCATCTTAATTAATCTTCTATTTTCC